CAAGGAATAACACAATCATATATGAGTTTTAGAAAGATAACTCTGGTTGTCTTGGGGAGACAGACGAGAAATGGGTAGAGACATTGATTTTATCTTTAAGAACTTGCTCTGTAAGGGGAGAGATGGGAACAAAAGAGACAGAAAAGTGACTCAAGGATATCTCAGCGAAATGACCAAGTATATAACCAATCACGCACAGTCACATTCAATACTCATATTTGTACAAAGATACTGCAAAAAGTTCATGGAAAAATAGAATGAAAAGACACTACGGATCTTTCTGTGAACTTTTCGAAGATCCCTCATACTTACATACATTGTACATAGCATTTGTTAACAGTAATTGCCCACATTTCTTGCTTTTTTTCCTAGTTGTTCACAGGGCATCTAGCCTCCTTGGTATTTCTGGGTGTCCCCAAGGTACACGTAAGTCTATCAACAAAGTATCCATGCAGCGTCCACCTTGCTCTTTCTCCTCTCTATATATTTCACTCTGTTCTTCTCATGGTCCTCACCACTGAGGCTCCTTTTTGACTGTGGTCATGTTAGTGATCCCAGTGCTTCCAAAGCCATTAATTCTCAAGGAGCCAGAAAGGCACTCTGTTCTCCGCGGAAGGGGGAGGAAAGCCTCCACCGGAGCACTGAAGCCACACTACTTGGCTCACTCTCCACTTTGCCCTCAAAGCATTTTCTTTAACCAGCTCCTTCTGGCTGTTTCTCCCGTCTGACCTTATTAATCCCTGCCTGCGGGGTAAGACAAAACATAACACAATGACGAAAGTTAAGTCCCCAGGAACTGCTGATGGTCAGCTGCCATTGGGTCTCCCCTAAAGAATAGGAACCAGTACATACATGTGCACGCACATCACAACCCCTCAGCTCTCCCCTGACACACACCACGCAAAAACACATACACTTGATGCACATAGACCTCTTCAACTCCTAGCACTTCAGCTGACATATCCATACAAGGCTGAATTCTCTTCAAGATCAGCCAGCACCATCCCTATTCTATGTATCTTCCTACAAAGGAAATAGACAAAGCAGAACATGAGTGATCACAGCCCAGCAGTCAGATACAATGTGCACGGAGCAATAGCATGACGTGATGTGAAGTGCATGGACTTTGGTGCCAGCCTGACGTAGATTCAGATCTCAGCCTGGTCACTTTTACTAGCTGGTTGGTCTTGGGCAGATCATAATTTTATAAAATACCTATTATTGGAGGATTGTAAAAATTAAAATAGCATATATACAGTGGCTGTACCTAGAAGGTGCTCAGTAACAACACTGGTGTTGGAATCTCGGGGTGCCACTTGTGAAGGGGGCACAGAAGGAAGATGCATAAGCAGCAAGTCATCTTATTAGATGACAGCCTACGGCTCACCTAGTATAGTTTCCTCATTTTATGGATGAGGACACTGAAGCCAAAGACAGGAAGTGACTTGATCAGGGTCAGACAGCAAATTAGTAACAGAGCCAAGCCAAGATAACAGGTGTGTCTGGGGAGGTTCAGCCCAGTGCTCCTCTCTGGAAGGCAGCAACCTTCAACTGCCGAGACTCTGCTATGACCTGCCCCTATTTCACTCTGATAGGACAATCTGTACTCCTCTTTTGCACCTGGGAGTGTCCTTCAATGGACGGACAAGAGAAAGAGCAGGAGATAAGGTGTATTTCTGGTGAAGTCCAAGCCAGTGCAACCGTCCCCGTCGCCATGGCAACCCCAGCCTGGTTGGCGAGGACCCGCTCCTCGGGCGCCCCCCTCCCATTCACGCAGCGGACGTGACACGTGCGGCAGAGTCACGTGTTGTTGTTGGGCCGGGAAAGCTGCTTCCGGGTCAATGCAGGACACCGGGCTCTGACGGCCAGAGTGGGGGACGAGGTGAAGCGAAGCCGGGCCGGGGCCGGCCGGGACCAGGCCGGAGGCTGAGCGGCGGCGACAGCGGTGGCCGGGGGGGGGGAGGAGAGGCGAAGCCGGAGGAGCCGCCGCAGCAGCTCCCCGCCTCCCGGGCTGAGGGGTGAGTGCAGCCCGGGCCCGCCGGCTCTGTCGGCTTCTCGAGGCCCGAGGCGCTCCCCTCCGGAGCCGAGGCGCCGAGGGTCGCCCCCGTAGGGCGCGCTGAGAGGGAACTCGGGAAGGGCTCCGAGGGGGGCCCCCGCCCCGGCAGCTGCGGGGCTCGGAGACCTGCCCTGGGACGCGGGGAGGAAGGGGCCTGGGCTGGGGCGGAGCGGGGAGGGCCTGGCTTGGGGGAGGGAGGCTGGTCCCGGGGTGGAGGAGAGCGTGTGGGGAAGCCTGTCCGAGTTTCTGGGAGAATCCCGGCTTCCCACTGTGCCCGGAGGCGTGGGGGATGGGACGATGCCCTCTGGCAGGTAGAGACAGACGTTGCCGGGGCTGCTGGGGAAACAGGAAACTTGTCTTAACTACTGAATCCAAAAAAAAAGAGGACCTGTCCCCAGGGAGGTTTCCTGGGGACAGGGCGGGCCTTCCTAGGCTCCTGGGACAGCAGGCACTCATCTTCCGGGGGCTGATAAAAGGATGTGGCAGTTTAATTAGGGCTTTTCGGAGAAAAGATTTACCTTAAGTTGGGAGACCCTGAGAATGAGGGGATTGGAATAAGATAGGGGCTGTCAGAAGGGTATTCTGTCCTGGGATCGTGGAGGGAGTAAGGATCTATGTGGACTTCTCTGTGAGCATGGGGAGTTCTAGGTCTTCGACTAGGAAGACATTCTGGGAATTAGTGAAGGGAGAGTTAACACTGTCTTCTCTTGGAACACAGTGATTCCAGAAGTTGTAATTGAGGAAAGTTGGTTGGAAGAGTTGAACTGTACAGTCAGTGGAAGGAGGAGGAGCTCTACTCTGAAGGTTGCTAAGCTACAAAGAGCTTGTAGGCACCGCCTAGGGCTGTTTGAGGAAGCTCCTTCAGGTCCAAATACAGGCTTGATTGGGGTTTGTCCCTGTTCTCTATGCTGCCATGGAACTCCTACATTCGTTTCCATCGGTCCATCTTCAGCAAAGAGAATATGAATATGTGCTGAGGACTAAGGAAAACATCCAGTGTGCATTCTGAGGCATTAGACGGAGATCTCTAGGGTAGTAGCTTTCAAACTTTCTTCTCGCAGTAAGAAGTACTCCTACATCTTCACCGTGATGTAGTACATATCTACATCTGAAAGAACAGTTTCACAATGCAGTATTTCTCCTATTATTTGATGCATTCTGATAATTTCTATTATATTCCATTCTCTTTTATTAAAAGAATGCTAACAAATTTCACTAAATTGATTTATGGGTCACAATTTGCAGTTTCCAAAACACTGTTTCTGAGGCACATTTCTTTGGCTTCAATCACTGTCCCCATACTGTAAGCTTCTAGAAAGCAAAGATCATTCTAAGAAGATGGATTGTTTGGTGAGGGAGAGGGCAACAGGTGCAATTGACTGCTTCAGCTGTTTAGATGTTTATAACATATAGCATATTTGACCAGTGTTTTCCGAAGTACCATAATCTTAATCTTTGATATCTTAATGTTTCCCGATCATTTTTTTTTTTTTCTTTTTTTCTTTTTTTTTTTCGTGCCCGGCAACGGATCGCAACCCTCAGTGTCGCCCCCGTACCGGACCGGGAC